GCTTTGGAGACTCCACTTCTTGTGCTCCATTGCCTGATATTAATTATTAATACTAATTCACTGTATTTCTGTATGTGAACCATTTAGCACTTGAATTGTTGATCTGTATCTGAATTTATGCTCTTTTTAAAGTTTAAAATGGCAGGAGGACATTGTAGTGCCACTCAGCATAAACCAGTCCAGCCTCCTGGATTGCTCCATCTTGTCCTGGTGTTGAACACACCCATGAAACAAAATCCCACCCTCAGAATTTACCAAACTGCCTTAAACACACAACGTGTCTAAAGCAAAGTAGGATGGAAGATGATGGTTAAAACCACCGAGTGTTTGGGAACAGCACTCAGTGATCGCTTACCCACAGTGAGGTGGGCACAGCCAGGGCAGAATCTTGTTTAAAATCCACCCAAACCCGACTAGCAAAGGGTCTGTTTGCTGTTTCCAGGCAGCAGGTCCACGGGGAAGGGAGGCAGCAGCTTGCTCCAGTGGACCAGTGGCCTGAGCAGAAGGCACCATCCATCCTCAGAGCATCATCTGAGTAATTGCAAGGGTAACTGTAACTCACCGCACAAGTCCATCACTCTTTTCCTCCCCTCGGAGCCCCGTTTATTTGCAGGCCTGACTGGAAGCAGATGGACCTGTCAGGGCCGGCTCAGGCAGGTGAGTGGAGGGTGGATGAGCTGCTAAGTGCTCCCAGCTGCTGGGCAGGGCCCGGAGGAAATTGTTGGAGCTGGGACCCAGCTCTGAGGTGAGATCTGGAGCCAGTGCCAAGAAGGAAAAAGTGAATTTCTCCAAGAAACCATTCCCTAAAACCTGAAAGAGTGAGGCTTTTGAAAGAAAATATCTGAAAATATCTGAAAAAAAGCGCATCTAATATATCTTCAGACTTCAGAGAGCCAGAAGCCATCCTCAGCCCCTGCCCCCATCTCTGCTTTTGTTCAGGATCTGTGTCCTTAGACGGCAAATATTATTTTTCCAGGGGTATCTCCCTTATTGCTGGTGTTTCCCTCTCCAGAAAGGTCTTGACTTCTACTCACTGGTTTGTGTCATTTGATTTATAAGCTCAAGGGGTCCTTCTCAAAACCTGGACTCCTTCTTGTACTTAATTGCTACAATAAACTGAAATCTCTGTGCTTTAGGAGAAACAATCTGGGAGGAAATTGTTTGATGTATGGAAGGAGACAGCAGGCCCTTCTTGGGAATGTCACTGAAGGGACACGGTGGAGAAGTGGGTTTATAAATAACTGCAAAATTTAGGAACTCCACGAGCTCAGGGAGAGCAGAGGTCTATTAAGCATGAACAGCTTGTAGGGCAATACCCAACATCTGCCAAAGTCCTCACAGCCAGTGGAATTCCCAACAGCCCCAACTGCTGCATCCGCTGGCTTTTACTCCCTGGGATCAGAGTGAGTCCCGTGGAAAGGGTTACCTGGAGCTTGCATCCCAAAATGCAAATAAACCAGTCAAACAAAAAGTGATTAACAAGTCAAAGCTTTTATGCACATTGCAAAGAAGGTGGTTTTCCTTTTCCTTTTTGAAATTACTGTGTAAAAAGTATCTCTTGGTGTTTTATATGTGTTTTTCCCAGCGCTCGGTGGCTGGAGCATGGAATGGGCACAGATGGAATTGCTGCAAGGTCCAAGCAATGCCACAGCTCCAGTGCCTCCAAGTGACACAGCAATAAAGGAAATTATAAAATTCCTTTAGAGTGTAAATGCCAAGGAATGAGGCATTACCTGTGGCACTGCAAAATGTGTTCCCAGCCACCAAGTGCTCGGACCACAACCCCGCAGGAGCTGGGGGATGCACCCCCTGCACCCAGAATCCAAAATCCATCCAGGGCTGGAAGAGTTGCCACCGATCATTTTTAAATGATCTGATTTTACAATGATCTGTGCCTCTTCTGTAGCTTTCTGAACCATTTTCTAGAGGAGTCACCACAGATTTTGTGTGTTCCTTGGGACAACCAGACCCCCAAAACTAAGAGGAAAGGACACGTAAATATTGCGGACTCATCTGGTTCCAATAGTGCGTGTTTACATATTAATGTGCAATACAAATTTGTAAACATGAGCTTTTGAAACGTTTGTAGGAACCAATACCGGCCTTTTCCCTTTCTGCAGCTTTATTGGAACAACATGTCCCCGGGCCCAGCCACACATGGACATCGTTTCCATACTGGATGCATTTCAAATGGTCTGGGTGCTTATTTGTTCTGCTCTATCTTGCCATCCAATCCTCGTTTGCTTTGCATAATTGTGATACAAATTATCATCTAATTACAGCCCAAACCTCAGCAGATCGAATGCAAACCGAGGCACTTCGATGGGGAACAGCGACATCCGACGCTCCCTCCACGCCTTTGGCTCCCCCGATGGATGTATTAAATTTGGGTGAAACTGGAGAGTAAAACTGCACTTTGATTAAAAACATTATTGCTGGGGATTTTTTTTTTGTCTCCTTGGATTTTAAATCAACCCCCTGTGTTTGAGCACTGAGTCCATCCCATATCCTGGCGCCGGGTATGGACATGACGCCCTTGGTACGACCAGTTTTATTTGCTGAGTGCTATAAATGGGGTCAGATATTCCCAAATAACTTCCAGCTCCTCTTGGGAAAAGTCAGATGACTAATAGCTGAGCTTGTTTAGCGAGTTTAATCTCTAAAAAAACCCCTTTGATCACTTTTCCCCTGTTCCCATATAAAAATAGCACCATAACACTGGCTAATGCGTTTGCCCACTAAGCCCAAAGAGCTGGGGACTTTAAAATTGCCACAAGTTTTCAAATAATGTTTGTGGGAGGAAATACAAAGCAGCACATGAGTAATTGTATTTACAGGCACATGGTCCTGCTGTAAATATCACCCTCTGTTCTCCCAGCTGCACATTTAATAACTAATATTTACTATTCTGTCTTACTCTCTCAAGTTCTGCCACTCGCCTTCCTGCAGTGGCTGTTTTACAAAGCACCCTGAGAGTGTAGTGTGGAGATTATCTGCTGTTTTGGGCAGAGTTTTTCTCAAACAGATAAAATCATCTATGTTGAAGTGTGAGCCATTCAGCTGAATCATCCCTGTGGGTATGGAAAATGTGGGTCAGGGAGCTTTGGCTGGTCTGAGGTGACCACAGTGGCACAGGACAGAGAGCTACAAAGGCCTGAAAACACCACCATCATCATTCTCATTAGTTGCAATGATTTTTGGAAGCATAAACCCAGGAGATAAAGGCAAAGGGAATGGAAATAAACCTCAGATAATGTGGATCAGGCAGTGCCTCTCAAGCCACGATGACCTTTTGTATGGACAAACTGATATTTATGGGTCTGCCTGAAGAGCATCCAAAGAGTGGCACCCGTGGGACACGCTCATAGCGTGCAGGAATCAGGCTCTGGGTGTGTTTTTCAAACTGCTGTGATCAGGGAGGGTGGCAAACCCCACGATCCCACAGGACCCACGAAGGCGCCTCGAAACCCAATCCAATTCCACTGGAATCAGCAGAGCATCATTCTTGGTGGAGCAGATCACCACACTGAAAACATCCATTCAACTCATTATCAGCCACGTTTTTAACCAGCCACTGGTTTACTGGGTTGCAGCCCATGGCCAGCAACTCCGGAATATCTGACGCAACCGTGAGGATTTGGAAAATTGGAAGTTCCCCCTTGCAGGAATCCATGACTGAGCTGGAAGAGCCTTCCAGAGTACAACCACATGTTGGGGGTGCGACGTGGTCACTCAGCCCCCAGGGAACTGGACAGAGCCTGTCCAGGGCCAGCAGTGGATTTGCCACGGGAATTCAGTCACCACTGATGATGAGGGAAGGCTTGGAAATAAGGACTCCCAAAGGAAAACAGAAGTTTCTTCTTCTTTTTTTTTTTTTTTTTTTGTTTGTTTTTAATAAAAATAGGGAGATAAACAGCATGAGAAAGCAGGTTTGTTCATTTTTACAGTTGTACAGACAATTTAGCACAGCCCACCACTTCATACTGTTATCACTGGGGGCTCTGTGAACACCCAAAGCAGGAAAATCAGGGAAAATGACGTTGTCTGAATTTTATCGAAGTCTCATGAAAGTCAAAGAGTGACTTTTTGTTATTTTAACAGCTTTTGATATTGCTTGTTCTGTTCTTAATTTGTTGTCTGTTATGAATAAAAGCAAAACTCTGATATGAGTTTTGAGTCTTAAACCTGCACCTAATCCCTCTATAATGTTGTGTTTGTAAATACAGCATTAATCCCAAAATGTGGCTGGTCCCAGTCAAGCATTATTTTCCAATCTCTGCCACACATCAAGTAATAAATTTGACTTTAAGTAGAGACTGAACATCGATCAAATAAAGAATAAAAACCTGTGTCCTGATTTATTGTGAGTTACACTGTTCCCCTGGGAGCTGGAGATTATTTACAGGAATAACAAGAATATCCACAGGTTACAATAAAACAGAGAGGACTTTTGGAAGGAATTGAAAATCTCGTGTTCCAGGGCCTGTGGAGCTGTAACTCTCCATAAAGGATCTGTATTCTCCATGGGACTGAGCCAGGAGCATCCCTGCCCCTTCCCTTGGATGCGATCCCAGGTAGATCTTCTGGGGCTGAAAACACTGGGTAGGAAAAGTGTCCTGCAGGGCTCATGGAGTTGTTTCATTCCACACAGCTCTCCGAGAGGGATCCTCCAGGTCCCCCAGCATGGATCCATTTTGCCATGGGAGGGATGTGTGACCCTCATCCCTGTCCTTCCCACCGCACTGTCAGTGCCAGTGCTGCTGGAGGACACAGCCTGGAGAGGCTCTTGGGAACCCTCCCCCTTTTCTCCACGTGGTGGGAACACATCCACCTTTCATCCTGCCTTTCTTTACCCTGGTAGCAGACACTTGAATTTACATCCCCACTGGGTCCTGGAGAAAAGGCACTTTCATGTCATTAATTAGGACCTGTTGGAGCCAAGGGAACTTGAGAGCACACTCGAGCATTTGGCCAAATGCTGCTCCTTTGCAGACTCCAGGTCTCGGACAGTCCCTTTGAAATTAGGGATAAAACTGGAGTGGGTGAGCAGCAGCTCCCCAGGGATAAAATTGGAGTGGGTGAGCAGCAGCTCCCCAGGGCTCTGAGCTGATTAAAGGCAAGCGAGAGAGAAAACATATTTGCAGAAATACAGATGCCTCCGGTCCCACTTGAGAGTGCAATTATCAAAAAGGTGACTGTACAGTTTGCTCTTACCCTACAACCGTGACATAAACAGGATCAAAAGCGGTCACTTGGATGTGGATCATCTCAGACTGTCCATGCTCCAAGATCTTCCACCTTCCCAGATCTTGCACCCTTCCAAATCCTCTGCCCTCCCAACACCACAACACATCTGCCCACCAAAAAAAGGGTTAAAAGCCTGGACATTCCTCTCCTGTACCACGCAGTATTTCAGAGTCAATAACTAACAAGTCCAGGGGTATGAAAGGAAGGAAGGACTTGCTTTACATATCAATGCTTAGGAATATTCTGTGATTCCACTAAAGGCAGTGGTTAATGGTGGGGTGCCAGCTGGAGTGGTGACATCTGCCGTCGCTCAGAGCGGCCGGGCCGCTGTCACTCACTTTGAAATGGCCTCCTGCATTCATCAGTCTGGATGGCACGGAGAAGTTATAACCATACAGGCCATATGGAGGATGTAAAGAACAATTAAGTGCTTCCCGAGCAATGGGACTTGATGGGAAAACGTTTCCAGATGCGTGTAATCCATACAGCATTTGACCAGCGGAGCCGGGCACTTGCAGGCACTGAGTGTTCAAGTCTTCGGCTTTGGCGCTTTTCAGGTTGGCTATGCCGAGGGAGGACAGTTTGGGCACCTCCACCATGAAGTGGGGTAAGAGGTGTGGGTTGGTGCCTCCCAGCTTTTTGTGGCTCGGAAAGATGAGGGACTGTTGCCTTAAGAAGCTCGTAGGGCAGATCTTGTAGTAGAGAGGCACGTTGAGGTTGGGTAGGAAGGTCTCGGGGCACGACACGCCGATGTTGCTCCCTGGCAGGTGGAACGTGGGAGGGGAGCACGAGGGAGAGAGCAGGGGGTTCAGAGGAGAGGGGGTCCCACCGCTGGAGGTCACCGGGGAAGAGCTGGAGCTCCCACCTGAAAAGGAAAATAAAAATCATCCAGACTGGGCTGGCTGGTGTCCGCAACCAAAGAACCCTTGGATGTCCACAGCCAAGGAACCCTCAGAGGACTCCTGCTCCCACTCCACATCTCCCTGCCGCCGGTGTCCATCCAAGCACAAACCCGCTCCAAAAACCAGCTCCTGGAAAACAGGAAGACCTATCCATAAATTATTTGTTGATGTTACTCAGCACTACTTTAAGGACAATATTCCCACATGGCTAAACCCATGCCATGGACTGGGACCATTGAGAAGCCCAGTTCCACACACCTGATGGACCCATACCTGGCTGTACAACCGATAACCTTCCCCTCTTACACACACCATGGCTATTTCAGCTTCTCTATTTTTACATGAATTCCAAACAGCTTTTCCCCATTGGATATAAGAACAAAAAAGCATATTCAGCCTGATGGAGAATTTTCTGTACCTTCCTGCTCACAGGAATTGACTCATTTCACTTGGCTTCCCAAGCAATTTGAAACACAGCCCTGAATGCTATCGGTGTCTCCAGAAACTGAAACCCACATGTCATTTTAACATTCCCCTTTCTGAAAGGGATGAATGAACACTTTCAGAATTCGGTAGAAAAGCAACACCAAAGGAGCAAAGCTGAGGTAGGGATGAGATGGCTGCTCTGAGGTGGGAACAGTGCTCCAGGGCAGCCAGTTCTGGTGCTCCACGGGTGTTGGTTTGATCTCCAGCCGGTGAGGAGCTGTGTGTCCCCTGCGCACTCATTACCAAATCCTTCCACGGGGTTGTTTTTTTCCTCCCCCTTTGTTTTAATTTCTTACCAAAGGGACTAGGAAAGGAAAGAAGGGAATGTGAATCCATTTGTGCTACGTGTCTTCCCCCATTTACACTGAATTCCAAGCGATGCGCTGCCTGGACGTGATCTGATCGGCATTCACACGCAACCAGCGACCCGGAATCGGCTGTAAAACCCGACCACATCTGACTGTAAAATCAAACTGACATCTAAGGTTTAGCAAACCTTAAAAAAAAACCCACAAAGATTTTGGACGTGGTGCAAATTAATTTCCAAACTCCCAGCAAGCAGAGCCTCTCCCAGCTCAGCACACAGGCTCAGGAATCCAGGGAGGTTTTGTGCCCTGAGGATCTCACCCTTCCCGGCTGATGTCAGTGGGGTTTCAGTCCTGACACCAGCAGGGCAGGATCCAATCCTTTCCCAAAATACACATCCCGATGTCCTCCAAGAATCAGGGGCTTTGAGTTGTGGAGAATAATGTGATTGTGTCGGTATTTTTGAGTGGGAGGCAGCGACTGAATCCCTGCGTGGCTGGATCCAGCAGAGCAAACCAGGGGTAGGATTTGCTTCACAGTATCCTAAGCAATATCACCCAACTTCCAGAGCAAGTCTGGGATTGGGGATTGCAGCAGAGAGGACAGAACAGCTCAATGAGCAGATGTTTGCTGCCCTTTCTATTAAGTTTAAAAATCAAAAATTTATGGCCAATTCTTTCTTCACCCCGTTGATAATAATTTCACCTAATTTGTCTCCTGGTTTTAGAGCTTTGGGATTCCTATTTTTCGGCTTTTCTTCAGAAATATAATTTTAGTATTAATAGAATTGGACATTTTGTTGTATTTACATCGGTCCAGGAATCTGACCCTGAAAAAAATACCAATTACAGGAAGAAAGATACAAATTACAATAAGACAAGCATTAAAAAAAAAAAAAAATTAGAAATCCCAGGAAGCCCAAATATTTTAACACATGTCCAATAATATTTTAGCACCTTTTAGCATTGCAGTTGCTGTTGCCCCATTCCCCACTGCAGCCCCTCCACCAGTTCCTCTCCCCAGTGCTGGCAAACGGGTTCAAAAGGGTTTTTTTAATAAGATATTTTCTAGATATAAAATTATTATTATTATCGTCATTAACATTAATAATAAAATTACTATTATTATTAATAATAACAATTTTAAAAAAGCTAATTCTCTTTACAACTGATAAACCTTTCAATTTCTCCCGAGTCCGATTTTTTTGGGTCCCCTTTTCTTCGCCTGCAGAACATGAATTTTTCCTGTGATTTTTTTGCAGCATTTCCCTGCAGACACGGATGACTTAGTGAGTCCCAGGACTTCGAAGAGTTCCTATCCTAAACGAGACTTAAACCGGCGACTTTTAAACCCAAGCTGGAGCCTCCAGCGTGCAAACGAGCTGTTAGGTTTTTATTTTCCTTCGGCGCTATGAATAATCAATTTTCAAATATTACTTCCAAAAGACATTTTACGGGAAAGGGCTGTAAGGGACCGGTGTGCGCTTGCCAGGATGAGAGTGAGCATTTTCCCTTAAAACCTCCCCCTCTTCCCTGCCTTTCTGTGGGACTGCTACATCCTAATAACAGATAATTTTCTTTTCTGTTGCTTAACGCGTTTGTCGGCGCAGAAGCCGCCGCTGCAGAAGACACCGGCCGTCACTATTCCCACGTTTTTAGCTGATATTCCTAAACCGGTTGGAAACAATTAGTGGAACAGGATCAAAGCCGTAACAACCCGACTCCAAATTAGCCTCCTGCACACTCCCAGATTTTTTTTTTTTTTCCTCATCTTACTCTAATTTCAGCCGGGGGCTGGGGCAGTGCCGTCATCCCGCTCTTCCCGCTCCTCGCATTGATTTCCACAGGAATTTTGTCCAAACCCACGCGGTATTGAATCCCCAAACGGCGAATGGTTCGTTTTCTGGACCCACCGCGGTTTGAGCCCCGGGGAGAGCCCCGAGCCCGAGGGAGAGGCAACCAACAGGACTTACCGTGGCTGTCTGCGCCGAAAGCCTTGAAATCCAGGGCGAGGGGCGGCCGCCACGGGTAGGAATCCAGGAGCCCATCCAGGACCCCCCTGCGGGGGAACACCGGGGTGAAGGCGGTGGGACCGGTGGGCTCGGCGGGGCGGGCGGCGGAGCGGCCCCGGCTCTTACCTGTTCCTGCCGGGGTCCCGAAAACCTTTGGCGAAGGGATTCCTGTCGATCTTCAGCTTCGTGATCTGGAGCGTGGGAGCGAAAGGGGCCGTTGGGGCGCGGGGTGAGCCAGGATCGGCCATCGGGGCTCTCCATCCCCCCTCATTCCCGTCCCGCCGGGGCTCTCCATTCCCCTACCCCCGGGTACCGTCGGGGCTCTCCATCCCCTCGTCTGGTCCCCCGCACTTCCGGAGCTCTCCATCCCCCTGATTCCCCGTCCCGTCGGGGCTCTACGCCCCCCGACCCCCGGTACCTGCTGGTTCTGGTAGGCCGTCACGGTGGTGAACTCGGTCTCCTGGAAGGAGAAGGTCTGTACCCCCTCGGCCGGCAGCGACTGAATCTGCGCTAGATCGAAGCGGGAATCCTGGGCGATAATGTGGACGCGGGGCTTGTACTTGTGCATGGACTGCAGGATGATCTGTGCGGGGGGGGGGAGAGGCGGCTGAGACCCCCCGGAGGGAGAAGGGCAGGAAGAAAACCCGAGGCGAGAAGTCGGTGAGACCCAGCCCTCAGCCCCGGGGCAGAAGGGAGCGGCCCCCCCGCCTTCCCGGCGCAGCCCCTCGGGGTGATGCTCTGCACCCCAGGGGGTTGCTCTACCCCAGCCCGGCCCCCCGCGTCGGGGCTGCCCCACACCTACGTGCCCCTTGTCGTCCATCTCGTTGTTGGTGAGCTTCACCCTGTCGAAGCTGATGATTTGCCTCATCCAGGTCTCCCCCGAGCAGGGGGAGTCGGGGTGGATGTAGAGCCGCGGGGTGATGCACGAGTGGTCCGTGTTCCCCGCCACCATCCATTGCGAGCTGTGATAGACGTACCTGGCCCGGGCCGGGCGCGGTCAGGGGGCGGAGGGCCCGTCCCCACCTGCCCCCACACCCACGCACACCTATAGAACCTATAGGTGCCTGCGGGCCCCCGCCGTGCGACCCCCGTGTCACATTCATCCCGGGACTCGCCGGAGCACAGATGGGGCACAGCCGGGCAGGGGGAGACCCGCGTGGGTGTGGGGGGTCCCCGCCCGTCCCTCCTTACCTGTATCTTTTGGAGTCCACCGGGACGACGTCGATGGCGATGTAATATTGCTGCAGCGGATCCAGCCCCTTCACCTTCACCCGCACCGACGGGAACATCCTCCTGCGGGCACAGGGAAGGGGCTGAGCAAGAGCTGCCGCTTACGGGGCGAAAAAAAGGCTGGAAAACTATAACCCGGCATCGCGAGGGAAAAAAACCCGAACTCAACGAAAATAGCGGAAAAATGGGCAAACCAAGAAAAGTAGCCCAACAGAACAGAAAAACCCCAAACAACAAAACAAAACAGGAAAAAAAACCAACCAAGAAACACCCCCTCCCCTCCCCCCGGTATCCTTAAAAATAAAAAGAATACAGAGGGGGGAAAAAAAAAAAAGAAAGAAAATAAAAGGTAACAGAATAGCAAAGCCCGAGCGAGGCGGCGGGGGACGGTCAGGGCGGCCCGGGGGATCGATACCTGCCGGCCTTGGTGATGATCATCTCGGTGCCGATGTCGTGGAACCTCCTCCAGAGCTCGGAGCCCTGCAGCTCCACCTGCACCCCGGTCGGCCGGGCCTCGGTGCCGGCCTTGGGCCGCTTCTCTGCGGGGAACACAAAGGGGAGGGGGCTGCTCGGGAGGCTGCGGAGGCAGAGGGTCGGCCCTCACCCCCCGGGGTCCCGCCGGTACCGACCCGCTTCGGGGGCTCTGCGGGCCGAACGGCAGCCGGGGCCGGGCTCCTCATCGCGCCCCTCCGGCACCTTCCTCTTGGCCGAGCGGCCCACCAGGGCTTCCACCGAGAAGGCGTGAGCCCGGGAGCTGAGCGCCATCCCCCCCGGGCTGCCGGGGGTCCCCCCGGGCCGCAGCGGGGCTCAGGCGGGCGGCGGCGGCTCCATCCCGGCCCGCACCCAGCGCCCCTCGCCCGGCCGCCGCACCGCTCCCGTCGGGGGGCAGCGGCCACCGCCAGATCCTCTTGCATCCAACTGAGTCAATAGACGGCTGCAGCCTCCTCTGTTTGTTTTGGAAACTGGTGGGAGCATAAGAAACATTGAGTGACATTTCATGGGAGTAACGCGGGGGGGGGGGGGGGGGGGGGGGGGGGGGGGGGGGGGGGGGGGGGGGGGGGGGGGGGGGGGGGGGGGGGGGGGGGGGGGGGGGGGTGTGGGGGGGGGGAGACGGAGAAGAGGAGCCGGCCCCGTCTAGGATCAATAAAAGAGTTACTGTTCTCCATTAAATTGTAAAACTCAAAGAAATTTGACATAATTGCACACTAGGGGCCACTTTTCCAACAAAAGTGCAAATAACGTTTAACCAGAACCAGCGCAAAAGGGGAAAAGGAAAAAAAAAAGGAAAAAAAAGAGAGAAAGGGGGAAAAAAAGGAAAAAAAAAGGGGAGAGGGAGGGGTAAGAAAGAGAAAGGGGAGGGAAGTAAAAGAAAATGGGGGGAAAAGTGGGATAAAAGAGAGAGGGAGCCGTGCCCCCCCTCTGCCCCCACGGGCCGGTCACACGCGGCCCCTTCGGTGTCCCCGGCACGACAGACCGGGTGCCACCCCCGGGTTGTGACAGCGCCGGGCATGAGTTCCGGCTCGTTTGCCGGTTTTCTTTTGCTTTTAGTTTGTTTGGTTGTTTTGGGGGTGTTTTTTCAAGGCAACAAACCCGCCCCCCCCCCCCCCCGCTCGGCTCGGCTCGGCTCCTCTTCAAAGCACGGCCCCGCCGCGGCAGCCGCGCTGAATTAGGGGCAGAAATCCCCGTTTTCCACGCGGGTATTCCCAGGGAGCCCCTGCGCGCCCGGGAAATGGGGGGTCGGGGCCGGGGGGCTCCGATCGGGACCCTCAGGTGCGCACGGAAAGGGCTGCGCGGCATTTTCGCCTCCGCTCTGGGGACCTCCTCGCCCTGCCCAGGCTGGAACCCACCCGGCTGATTTATTTGCCAGCCGGGAACCCTCCCCAGAGCCTTCACCAAATGGGATTCATGGGCTCAGGTGATTTTGGGGAAACGGTGGCGTTCACGGTGGGCTGGGTGGGTGTCACCTCCCCCCAGTCCCCTGCGCAGCGGGGAGGTCAGTCAGGAGAGATGAGCCTTAACGGGAAAAAAATGTGGAAAGGGATAAAATTCACAGACCAGCTGAGAAAGCAGGTTTGGGCAGGGAGGGAGCTGTTGCAGGGCTTCGGCGTGACAGTGCTCCATGCTCTGCTTCCAGGTGCTCCCACAGTTGCAGGGAAGCACTGCTTTATACAAACGTTTATTTTTTTTTTTTTCTGCATTTCCTGCTCTATTTGTTAGGGTTGGTGTCCTGCTGCATGCATTCCCAAACTTTGGGCTGGCAGCTGGTTGTCTTCGTGGAGATCATGGAATGGTTTGTGTTGGAATAAATCTTAAAGCTCATCCAGTCCCACCCCCTGCCACGGGCGGGGACACCTTCCACCAGCCCAGGTTGCTCCAAGCCCCGTCCAGCCTGGCCTTGGACACTGCCAGGGGTCCAAGGGCAGCCACAGTTTCCCTGGGCAACCTGTGCCAGTGTGTGGTCCAAAATATGTATTTAAATACCCCAAACTTACACCATTGTCCTCAAAGTCCCATTCCAAGGACAGTCCTTACTCAGTTTCTGGTGGGCTTTGTGCATTGATACTCATTTATACACATTTATATGCATTTATAACAATTTATACTTTTTTTACTAGACATTTATACATCAAATTCCTGGCACATCTCACTGGGACAGAGATTTGACCATGGAAAAGATCTTGGAGGAGGTGAATGGGTGCAGGTAGGGGTGCCAAAAACCAGAGCTCAACATCCAGCCTGGACACCTGGTTGGAAGCTGCCCACTTCTCTGGCTGCTGCCCTTCCTCCTGTGCCAGCTCTGGTTTGGATCATCCCTGCAGCCTGATTTGGGAGAGGAAAGCTGGTGTCCCAACCTCCCAAAATCTGTAAGTGGAGCTCTGAAAGATCTGGCCAAGCTCCTGTTGAAACCGTGGTGGAAAACTACTGTTAATGGCACTGGGGACAGATGTACATGAGCTGTAAAATAAGTGTATAGAGGGATGTTTATGGAATTTGCTTCCTCAGAGCTCTGGTACCTGGGGCTAGATGGGAGAGGAGCTCGCCCCAACCCTGAAAGGAGCTCAGGAATCTCCTCCAGTCCCTCAGAGAGGCTGATGCTGATGAAATTTAACTTTTATTGATGGTTTTGGTGTTTCTCACCCTTCACAAAGTGTCTCAAAATGCAGAGACCAGCCATGTTGTGTGTAATCTGAATTATAAATGGGTTTGTCCCCCTGTTACTCCATCCTCTCAGTGATGTCCCTCAGCAGTGGCCTCTGATCGTGTGGTTTTGTTTCCTACAGGCATGTCCAGGTGGCCTTGCCCGATCCTCTGTGGGACAATGTCCAACCTGCTACAGGGGCTCCTCTTGGACATTATTCCACAGGACATGGTTCCCTGTCAATGGCAGGGAGATGGAACTAGATGATTTTGAAGGTCCCTTCCAACCCAAACCATTCTGTGATCCCTTGGGGCAAGAAATGCATGGAGAACAGGGTTGGGGAGGGGAATTTGGGGGTTACCTCCTGCTGCAGGCAGGATCAGCCCCTCCTATGCAGATCTTTGATTCTTCTTCCAAAGAGAAATGAAATTTTACAAACATGTTCATAATTAGAAGAGCATAAGCTCATGGTTTGCAGGGAAGGTGACCAGCAGAGCCCCGAGCTGATCGAAGCCAGCTGAGGGCATGAAGTGTGAACCTTTATCTCTGCTGACATGACATATTATTAAAAAGTATTTCGAGTAATCTTTTATTTCCTCAGCATTGCAACACATTTCAAGAACTTGGCCGGGGATCAAGCGAGCCTTTTTAATTTCCTACAATGAAAAATAAAACAAAAATAAAGCCCGATTGAGATGATATAATCAGGAACATTTTGAGGGTTTAGGTCAAATTAATGTGTCAGAGAAGGGCTTTCAGGGGACTTGGAGGGCTTTAATCTGTCAAAGGCTGACTCAGACCTTGCTTGGGCTTTGTAATCTCATTGTCTTTACCGAATTATGGGATGGTATGTCCTGTATTAGCGTCATCAGACTTGAGCAAATAATCAGTTGGCATAAAGTTCAGAATAACTAACCTAATTTTAAAGCAAGTGTTATACAATAAGCCAGAAATGTTTGCTTAACTTGGAAATGATCTTTTAATACTGTCCATTAATGTGTGAAAGCACACAGGTAACCTCCAAATACAGCCTTTCCTGGCTACTTTTGGGGCAGTTTTTAGGAGATTGGATTGCGTTCGAGCTGTGATCAGTTTTGCCAACATTCACCTTACATTTACCAACACAAAACAAACCCAACCTAAACCAAATAAACCCCAACTTGTGGTTTAGGAGGGTAATACTTTAATATCACCTGTACTCAATTATTCATCTAACAGTTATCTCTTTTATATCTTCACTCCATCATTGATTTATATAAAGCCACACTTATAAATTTGGTGCTTGGACATTTTGGGTTCTTTGGATAAACTTGAGGATTGTTCGTTCTCTGCCTCACAAACCATCCAGCAAGAAAATATTTATTTATTTAATTATTAGGAAAACCATGGTTTCCAACCCTGCAGCCTCTAACCGGGGGATGGAGCACTGCTGCTCCCATCACACAGTCTCAGCCATTGCTTCTCCAGTGTTTAATTAGATGATGAGTAATCAGGGCTGCAACTGGGTGTGGGTGCACCTCTTTTCCCACTGGGTGTGCATGAGGTGGGACACCCTGAGCAACGTTTTTTGGGTGGTGCAGCTCCTCTCTCAGAGATGCAGCTGCAGGGAGCAAAGCAGATCTCTCATCTCTGTGTGCTCTTCCCACCCCAGCCTTGCCAGCACCAACCACATCCACCCCTTAAAAATCTTTCCTGTCCTGTAAAAAAGCATTTCAGCATTGATTTAACCCTCTTTGCACGTTGCCAGCTTGTTACTCCAGAACTCACCATCCAGCTGCTTTTTTTTCCCAGTTTCCCAACCTCACTTCTACTAGTAAAGGATTGGAGTCTTTTTTTCAGATCCAAACCTATTTGCTTCTTGTGAATCATGGAATGGTTTGGGTTGGAAGGGACCTTAAAGCTCATCCAGTTCCACCCCCTGCCATGGGCAGGGTCACCTTCCACTGGCCCAGGTGCTCCAAGCCCTGTCTGAGCTGGCCTTGGACACTTCCAGGGATTCGGGGACAACCACAGCTTTTCTGGGCGACCAAAATATAATATATAAACATATAATAATCATAAATGAATGAGCTGCCTCACATGTAATAGGGATAGAAATGAAGAAAGGCAAGCCAATATTAATATTCCAATGTACAAATAATATCCTTCTCTTGGATAAGAAAAATAGGCTTATGGATGAGACAGTGGGCCCCAAACAGCTGCCACTGTCCACATGGGAGAGGGATGGAAGGTTTGTTATGGGAGGACATTAATGCTGGACTAGTGCTGAGGATGAGACCACTAGCTGAACACCCTTCTGGCCTGAAATAACACCTGGTTGGGTTCTACAGGAGCTGCATTTGGCAAAATTCAACTTTAATTGTTGCAAACATAACCACCATTTCACAGTAGTCATTAACTAATCAGTTATTAATGGATTAACAAATATTTCTTCTTCCTAAAAATCTTTCATGCAGAAGCTGCTGAAGACTGAGGAAATCTTGGCAGAGAACTCCCCTAGAAGGGTATAACAGCTCAGGAGGTTTTCCCTGAGGTTCTCAAATGTCCCATCCCACAGCTAAGCCTTAATTTCATTCTGTGATTATTTTGCCCACCATGAACTTTGAAGAACCTCTGCTTTTCTCTC